AGCAAGAGAGTTGTCCCCTATGAACAAAAGGAGAAATAATGAAGTTAACTCTAGAAATTAATTAAATGTCATCAAAATTAATAATTCATTATTAAATAAAGTGAGTTTGACAAAGTCAGTATTTGATTGGGCAGGATGACATAATATACACATATGTCTTTCTTATCAATTATCTATATTTTCTTTATACTTTAAATCTTTCTAAATGAAGACATTGAGACAATGTGATCAGAAAACTACTACTAAACAATCCCAGCAAGTCACATACTACCAGTAGATCAGTCTATGAGTTCACACAGGACCAGCCTCCCCTCCCTTCACAGTTCATGTAGCCAGCTCATAAACTTTTCTATTACCCCATTTCTGAATTAAAGTATGTATGGTTCCATTAACCAATAAAATAAATAATAAGTAATATTTAGCACTGCATGATAAATGGTAATATATAAATGGTAATATCTGACTTGCATTAGTTCATTAAAATAGTTGTCCCCTCAACTAGTTTGCTCCTCTGAGACCCAGATAAAAAAGTAGAGGGGACTATTAGGGACATTAGATAATTAGAGTGGGTAGACACACTGATGCAGTTTTTTATTCACTTCACAAATATTTATTGGTAATTTACAACATGAAAACTAGTGTACTAAATGTGATGCAGAATTTAAAGACAAGTACAATCCACTCATTATTCCCTAGTAATCTGTAATATTATAAAGAAGTAAGTCACATAAAATGGTTCTAAAGTAGGACAGTATGTGACTGTTACTCAATTAGTACAGGAATGGGGAAAGTGAGGCCCAGCAGTAGGTCTTTAATATCTAACTTCCTATTTTATATGTCTTTTGAAATATTATCTACTGATAACTATCTACTGAGTCTCTACTTTGTTTTGATTTTAGTATTGGATTTTATGTGTTCTTTTTGAAACATGCTCTCTCCTACAGAATTTCCCAGGACTTTTCCCTTCTCCCAACATACTGAGTATTGAACCCAGAGCCTTCATACTGAGCAATACCACCAGCTAGTTCTTTCTTTCTTTCTTTCTTTCTTTCTTTCTTTCTTTCTTTCTTTCTTTCTTTCTTTGTTTCTAAGACAAAGTCTTGCTAAATACATTAAGTGTTCTAGGTTGGGCCCAAACTTTGATCCTCCTGCCTCAGTCTCTCAGATTGATGGGATTACAGAAGTGTGGCACCACGCTTTGCTTGAATTTTCAAGGATTTAAATCCTTAAAACAGTTCTTCTGAGTAGATTCTATTTTTCTTTATTATGAAACAGAAAAACAAACAGGTTCTGCAATTTAAGTGCCTGATGCCATCTTACCAACTGGTGCCAGAGTTGGCATTTAAAACCCTTCCCTCCAACTGGGCCCAGGGAGGAGCCCATACTCTGCACTGTGCTGCCTCTCCCATCTCCTTCCTCTGATCATAGAACTGAATTAAGCGTACAGAAGATGGCCTTGTTTGAGCTCAGCGGGAAATGTGCTCATAGGCTAATTCAAATTTACACTGGCACATATCTGTGGATCAACTGAAAAAACACTGAGATTTTAGTTTTTAACCAATAAAGTTTGTTTTATAAGAAAATTTGTAAATACAGAAATAATGAATAGTGAAGAATGCCTTCCAAAGTGTTTAATTAAACTCAGTGATGATAACTGAAAAAATAATTGGATTTAACAGTAGCTGTTAAAATCAGAGGAATGCCTGGACACCACCTATCATGACACCCTATGTCACAGTGTCACTTGTGCATACTGGTAGTTGTTCAAAGACTTGGAGACTAAGAACATTCTGTGTTAGCTAACATTGGAAGAACAAAGAAATCTGAGTCAGAAATTTTTCATTTAATACATCCCCTTGCTGTTACACTACTGTATTGTTTGCCTGTAGTAAAGCTGTCCAATGAGGATAAACTGTTTGAGTTCTTTTAATAACTAAGTACTTAAAGTAACTAATGTGTAACTAGCTTACATAGTAAATACTTAAAAATAGAATAACTAAACAAATGAGTGCAATCATCAAGAACTGCTGTTAGGTTTTAACAGAAATAGATTAGTAGAAAGAGTGCATGAATTGGGGGAAATGTGAGGTAGGTTTTGAGAACTGCCTATAGTTTGGGCAAACACTGATGGCAACAGAAGGGATCCCAGCAGAAGACACAATCCAGGGATACTGAGAAGAATGTGTATTAGACTCTGTGGTATTCACACACACTACATGTAACTCACTTTGAAGTGACTGGGCCACACTAGTATGCAG